AGTCAATGAGCAATTAAACCCCAACCAATACCTGATCAATAACCAGTCAATGAGCAATTAAACATCAATCAATACCTCATCAATTACCAGTCAATAAGAAACTAAGCACCAATCAATACCTGATCAATAACCAGTCAATCAGAAACTAAGCACCAATCAATACCTGATCAATAACCAGTCAATCAGCAATTAAACACCAATCAATACCTGATCAATAACCAGTCAATCAGCAATTAAACACCAATCAATACCTGATCAATTATCAGTCAATCAGAAACTAAGCACCAATCAATACCTGATCAATAACCAGTCAATGAGCAATTAAACACCAACTAATACCTGATCAATAACCAGTCAATGAGCAATTAAACACCAATCAATGCCTGATCAATTACCAGTCAATGAGCAATTAAACCCCAACCAAGACCTGATCAATAACCAGTCAATCAGCAATTAAACACCAACCAAGACCTGATCAATAACCAGTCAATGAGCAATTAAACACCAACCAAGACCTGATCAATAACCAGTCAATGAGCAATTAAACACCAATAAATACCTGATCAATAACCAGTCAATGAGCAATTAAACACCAATCAATACCTGATCAATAACCAGTCAATGAGCAATTAAACACAAATTAATACCTGATCAATAACCAATCAATGAGCAATTAAACATCAATCAATACCTGATCAATNCCTACATGTCATGTTGTAACTCTAACCCTACATGTCATGTTGTAACTCTAACTCTACATGTCATGATGGAACTCTGTCTGTAAATTATAAACAAAGCATCATGAACACAGAAAATCTGATTTTTTTAAAACTCAGCTTTAAAGGTTTTACATGTCAGAGCTAAAATTTAGCTTGTTCCCTGACCTCCTACACACAAACACACACTCTCCTCACCTCCTCCTACACACAAACACACACTCTCCTCACCTCCTACACACAAACACACACACTCCATGGTTGGTCCCAGTCAGACTCAGGTGGGGGAGGTGCAGTGTATTTTGGTCTGGGCCCATGTCAGACCCTACTGGAGCTCATCCAGCAGGAGGAGTGAGTCTCAGTCTGAAACATTTGATGACTCACATTTAAACCTGAAAAAAGGAGTAAGGCCCTGTGATGGACTTGCGACCTGTCCAGGGTGTACCCCGCCCCTCGCACTGTGACTGCTGGATATGGGCACCAGTGACCCACGTGACCCTGAAAAGGAAGAAGCGTGTACAGAAAATGGATGGATGGATGAAAAGGAGTAAACTGAAGACATTTAGGTGTAAAGACGAGCCCTGAACACTCAGAGCTTCTGATCAACCTGTCCAGATAAAACAGGATAAAAACATTCTTCTGTGACTCAAAGAAATAGAAACCAAACAGAACCAGAACCAAAGCTGGATTTTATTTTTAAGAATCAGACAATAAAAACAATAACTATGGATTAGGACCAGATCAGTAATACAGAATAATGATTTCTTTAATTAATCACCTGATCTCCATCTGAACTGATATTTATTTTGAAACAAACAAATAACTTCTTATACTTTCATTCAGTCTGTAAACAAACACAAACTGAAACAAAATAAATATTGTTTAATGATCAGTGAAAACACTGATTGGCTGCATGCTGAACTGAGCTAAGGCACATGAAGTCAGGTGACCTGAGCAGGTGACACAGTAGGAATCCCTGACGTCACCTGATCATTCACCTGTCAGGAGGTCAAAGGTTGGAGGTCATCAACTCTTCACCTGCTTCTTCTTTTGAATGAGTTCAGCCAACATCTTGTAACGGATCATACATTCCTCCTGTAATCACAACCAACACAGGGTCAAAGGTCATTCACTGAAAGGTCAGGGAATATTAGCTGATCAGAGCTGATCAATAACCAGNTCTACATGTCATGATGTAACTCTAACTCTACATGTCATGATGTAACTCTAACTCTATATGTCATGATGTAACTCTAACTCTATATGTCATGATGTAACTCTAACTCTACATGTCATGATGTAACTCTAACCCTACATGTCATGATGTAACTCTAACTCTACATGTCATGATGTAACTCTAACTCTACATGTCATGATGTAACTAACTCTACATGTCATGATGTAACTCTAA